GGAATTTACGGGAACTTCACTAAAATTAAACGAGTTTATGTCGATTTAAACTTACATTATTTATTATAAGTAAGAAAAGTTACTTATACATTTCGGTCTTTGGATTTAAGACTACATATACATTTTAAGGAAAATATTGGATTTTTCTAAAACAAATACTACTTTTACAAACGAAAGGCTTTTAATAATACCAAACAAAAGCTTATGAACTCACCAACCTTTGTGTTGACACTTTTTCAAACAACTTGTATTCTCAGGAAATCATTAAACAGGTAACCAAGTGCTTTTGAGGATGGGACGCTAAGGCGTCTACTATTTCATATTTTGTCAACATATTGTAATTGATTCGTAAACATGTAATTCATACAATGATGTAACTTTTTCAATTATATATATGTTGGTTGTGTTTGCTTGAATTACTATTACAATTGTTGTTATGATACTATACATGAAGTCCTCCAGCCCCGGACATTTCCGCCATCCTTGGTTTGGGGGTGTGACACAATTCCTTAGGTCAATCCTTAGGAATGAATGAAGGAATGATAGTTGATTCTTAGGGTAACACCTTAAGAAATAAAGAAGATAATGGGGATGGGTAATTGAGTTGATTGTTTGATGATTAAATATAATAATTATATTATTGTGGGTTGAAAACCCTATATGCTCACCAGGCTCCCAAGCCTGACCCACTCAGTTTTCTTTGTATCACAGGTAGTGGCACAAGAGCATAAGTTGGCTGACGTAACGAGAGATAAGGATTATAGGCCTGTAGTTATAATTAACTGTGTAAGGTCTATTTTGTTCCGTTTATGCTTTTGGTCTGTATCGGAACATGACATCCCGAGGTTTTATTATTAAATAAAAATACATTCTCTTTGAGAAATGTTTTGATAAGTTATTATCATATCATGTTTTGGGAACAAATTCCACAACCGTTTTCTTTAAACGATCACTCTGATTTATAAAACAAAGCATAAACAAATCGGTCTTTTCTGGCCGTGAAAATGGGGATGTTACATCCTCTGGACTCAGACACTCTCCAGGATCATGTAAGCTCCTATTACTTCATGATCTTTCACCTATCTCGGGAGTACACTGATAGGTTTTACATTGTCGTCTTTTGAGAATTCATCGATTTCAACTTGATCTTTCTTTTCTGGATGTTTTTATCCATTGGGGCTTACTACAATCTAATCCTTGTATAAGGCACTCTCCTTGAATACTACATCCTAAATTTTGATAAAACCTTTTGTTTTGATTATCCCAGAAGCAGTATCCTATATCATATAACCCGTAGCCTATGAAGCTACATTTCTTTGTCTTTGCCTCGAGCTTGTCTCTTTCCAAGTTCTTGATCTGGACATATTAGACACACGGAAATACTTTGAAGTGTCAAAGAAAAATCTCTTGACCTTGCCATTCCTCTCTTGGGATTCTAAACCGTAAGGATACTATGGGTCCTCTAATGATTAAGTATGCAGTTGTACTAAGTGAATTTTTCAAGATCATCTTAGACATCCCTACATGTAGTCTCACACTCTTTTCCCTCTCATTTAATGTACGGTTGATCCTCTTAGTCATACTACTTTGGAGAGGCATTTTAAGGATCATTTTCAGCATCCTGATCCCATTACATAATAATCAATGAATGCTTTGCTACTATATTTCCCTATTATTTGACTTCAAATACTTAATATTTAGAACTATTTCATTTTCATGGTAGCTTTCCATTTCTTGAAGGTGCTACATACTTCATATTTGTTCTTCAAGAAATTGTCCCAAACTTTTCTAATGCAATCGTAGAAAAAGTAACATGGTACCTAGAACCTCCCATTAAAGAAAATGAAGTGGGACTGTAAACATATGAATGAACTAACTCCAACGTCTTAATCTTGGCGGTTGACCCATCATTGCAAAAGTAACTTTCTTCTGTTTACCATGGACACATGGCTTACATAATTTGTCTGCCACATTCTTCAAATACAGAATATTCCCTTTGGAGGCTAGCATCTTCACTCCATTCTTATTCATATTCCCAAGTCATTGGTGACATAATGTGGACGCCCTTGCTTATTCTACTATGATGTTTGCTTTATCATCAGGAAATCTCCACCATGTAAAGTGTACCATGTTTCTATCCTTTTGCAACAACCAAGTTTCAATTTTTCACCTTCCACAGATGATCACAAAAAGTAATATGGCGACACTCATCATCAAGTTGTCTTATTGATAGCATCTTCAACACCCTTGAAATCTAGGCTTTTGTTATCTGCTCGTCGAACCATCCCACTCTAGTTCCTAAATTTTGCATTACATTTCTAGAATGACTTGCATGAAACGATGCACCTAATCTATTATCCATGATTCTATTAAGTTTTAACACAAGAAATGAGTGCATTACATTGAATTATATTGTCACATTCACCTCCATCGTGTCCTTTTTTGCTAAGGCTTTTGGGAATTAATTTATGAAGTGACCAATCTCCTTGCAATTCCAACATAAAATATCTTTCATGTTCTTCGTCTAACCTTAATTTCTTAATTTTGATCTTCCTCTACCGTTACCACTTGTGTTCGAATTTCTTCCCCTTTCTTCGCTGCAAAACACACTGCCAATGCACTCCCATATACTCTTCCTTCAAATATCTTCCTTGAGAATCAGATATTGAATGCCTTTGAAAGTGAGTTCGATAGTTCTAGATGAACTACTTACAAGCCTGATAGTTCCAGAAAGCGAAGACAATAACAACAGTGCTTGGACTTCGTCTTTAAAACCCAATATTAAAATATATCATCCTTGATAAATGAAGTCATTTGCATGATCTGTCACATAGTCCCATTCCTTCATCTTTATGTCAACCAAATGCCAAATCAAGAAAACCTTATTCACTGTTGATGATTTTTCATACATATTGGATAGCGCTTTAATCAGGTCATATAGGTAATCTTCTAGTTGACAATATTGCAAGCTATGTTCTTTGCCAATGGTAATCTTACCACGTCAAGACCCTGCCGATCCGGTAGATTCCAGTCCTCCTACTTCATTTCTTCTGTTTTTTTTTTGCCAAGAGTTCGTGTAACTACTTTTTCTGATATAGGTATTGATTTACATTCTTCAAGACCCAAAATTGTGACCTTTATATTTGTCGATCTTAAACTTATAGTCTTCAGCCATAGCTCTAATACTAGTTGTTAATATTTGAACACTTCAACAAACGATTGAAAAACTTCACACAGAATAACAAATGCAAAGGAAAAACAAGAAGATAATATTTACATGCTTCACACAACCAAAGTAATCAGCTATACGAATTCAAAGAATATAAATACTCGTAAGTTGACCAAAACTTGCCAATAAGGCAAGCCCGAAAACTTTAACAAGGGGCGGCTCCCTTTTGACCACCACTTGCTCTTTCGATCATAGCTTCGTGTGCATAGCGGCTATAAGGTCAAAATGGTGAATTAATATTCACAAATTAACATTTACATTCAAAATACTGCAAAAAGAAACAAAAATTTTTGATCTTGACAACCTTGGAATAACGGAATAAATGGTAGATAGAAAATTTGTTTTTGTTTGTTTGTTTGTTTGTTTGTTTTTTTTTTTGAGGTTATATATTTGTCTTTTTCCAAATTAATTTACCAAATTTCGTCAAAAACTATTCCATCCTTCCAACACCAACTTGCTATTGAATTCGATGTGTATGAGTCTTCAAAATTCTTGAATTTTCCCCTCAATTCATTTTTTCATTCACTCTTACGGTCAGTTCGCTACGAATTGCCAAAAGTTAAAACTAATTTTGGATTATCCTTGTATATAGCCAGTTCACAGTTAACGACCTCTATACAAGATTAGTCACTGGTTGTTTCTTACGATGCTCAACAACAGATTCAAGATCGATAAAGGTTAAGATTATTGTTTTAGTTACGAAAATTTGTGTATGTTTGTAACTGGGTGAGCGTCGACTTTCAGTTGACTGATTGGTGCAGCACGACGTCATCGTTTAAACTAGCAACACTGCAGATTATGTTGATGAAGTATAAGAAGGTAATTCGGATCAATTATATGAAGATGGAATTAACTCCACTAAATCGACCCAGGACTGGATTGCTAGAATTCGAGTATGTATTCGGATCATCTGACTCTTACATTATTTTCTTGATTTTTCGCGACACATTTCTCCATCCCAGTTCACAATTTACACACTTACAAGTGCGTGAACATTCCCAGAAGAATTGGTTGATTTGTTGCAGTGATCAAATTAATTAGCATAAGTATTATAAAAGAGTAAGACGAGTTACTCGTTATCATTATTTTTCTTGTTATCTTTACCTAAATTGATTGATATTGATCAAATGGATTACTAGTAAAAAAAAAATATATGATTTGTCATTTAACATCCTCCAAATGTAATATTATAAGTGGGGATTAGGTGGTGGGATGCATCTTGGATGTTACCTCATGAATTAGCAGATATCGCTTTTGTCAGCTGTACAAGTCAACTCCATCATTGTAGCTTGAATATTTAATGGAGGTGATGCCCTCTTTTACCAAAAAAAAATATATGTAAGAAGATAGAAGGTGGATCTACAGAAAGAAAGAAAGAAAAAAAAAAAGATAATTTTATTTTAGCATATGGGTACCCATCAGGTTCACATGTTTGTGTCCATAACTAGTACTAATTAACAATCTCCAGCTTCCAGCTAAGAACAGCTACTTAACAGGACACGGTTGAACATATGTTGAAAACCATTATATGAAAACAAAAACTGAATTAAGATAATATTATTTAACATCTACTAAATGTAATATGATAAGTGGGCCTCATTTTGGTGGGGGAGGATGCAATCCATGTCATCTCCATCAGTCCATCATGCTTCATGTAGCAAGCAATCATAACGTGGCTTTTGCAAGCACAACAAGTCAACGTCATCTTTGTAGCTTAAATATGTAAGAAGATGGAAGGAGGATTCAAGAAACAAAAAAAGAATATACAAAGATGGTAAGCTCAAGCTCTAATCAGTATGCCACAGTAGAAATTAAAGAAGAAGAATACCCATACCCATCGAATCTTTCAGCAGCAAGCTTTATTAGTGTGAAGCTGAGTGGTAGGGATACGTATGCTATCTGGAAAACTCAAATGGTATGTCTCTTAAAGAGTCATGATATGTTTGGTTTCATCGATGGAACACTCAAAAGCCCTCAAACTGATGTTTCTGGAAAGGAGAAAGTAGATGATCATCACACTCACAGGCTGTGGACAAGATCTGATGCCCTGGTTAAAGGATGGATTCTTGGTTCACTCACGGAAGAAACACTCATGTATGTTTTGAATCGTCTCACAGACAAATTCCAGCAACAGACAAATGTCGATTTCACTGCAAAAGATGTTTGGTATGAATTGCAGACTACATATGGTCCTCCAAAATTGCAGACTACCTCTGGTCTTGTTGGTCTTCCACAACGATTTGAAGGTACAATCTCTTCTTTGCTAATCCATGTTTTATTTAGTTAATTGGACAGCTAGAATTAGATACTTCTATTTAATTACGATTATTATTTGGAGCTTATATTTCTTCAAAGCATAAAACTACTACTTATATAATAGAATATGTTCTATTGCACAATATAGCTTCTACTGTATAATCACTAAAAATATCAAGTCAACCAAACACTTAATTACACAATTCACAGTTACACACATATATATATATATATATATATATATATATATATATATATATATATATATATATATATATATATATATATATATATATATATATATATATTTGATGCCGAAGTGCCTTATAATATCAGTATACATCCTCCTAGAGATGTGGATCTGAATGTTTTCTTCTTACTCCTTTATGTTAGTGATTAGGGTTTAGGCCCAAACTCTTTAGGGTTTAGCCATTAGGCTTTAGGTATTCTCTATATATTCTTATGTAATTGTCTTTTGAGAAGCAACATAAATCCATTATCTAACATGGTATCAGAGCTCTAGGTTAAAACTCTACTGCTGACCACAACCCACAACCACTGCCTTCCACTTCCGACGACCTTCTCTAATAGTCGTCGGAGGTGCATTCATTATGTTCCATATTTTTCTTTTTTCTTATCTTTTCCATCTAAATAATAAAACAACGACTGGCACCAAACTAGAGCTCTTTCATCGGTTTCTTCCATTGTCTCGTCTACTTCTACCTCTTCCTCATATGACCTCTGCCTCCTCCTCGACTGACCACTTCTTCAAATCTCTTTTTTGGTTCAGGCCCTTCTGATGTTGCTGTTGCTTCCCTCCGACAACAGCTTTTCCGTCTGGCAGCCTCTGATTTGTTGTCGTTTCTTTCTCGATCAACATTGCAGTTGCCGATCTCGCTGAAATTGGCTCCGTCTGCCACAGCTCGAGCCCCTTTCTCGCTACTTTTCTCCGAACTCCTCTTCCGCTGGTTGCATGATTATCTTCTCCGCCTAAATAATAAAACAGCCGACTGACACTAAACCAGAACCCTTTCATCGGCTTTTCTACTGCCTCATCTACTTCTACCTCCTCACCTTCCACCTCCTCCTCGGCTAACCACTTCTTCAGATATCTTTTCCGATTTAGCCCCTTCTGATGTTGCGGATGACTCTCTCCGATGGCATGTTCTCCACCGAGTAGTCTCTTATCTACAATCGTCTCTTTCTCTATCAACATTGTAGCCATCGATCTCACTGGAATTGGTTCTGTCTGCCGCAGCTCGAGCCCTCTTTCTTTCTCGCCGCCTTTCTCCAGACTCCTCTGCAGCCGGTCGCATGATCGTCATCGTTGCCGTCGCTCCTCTCTTCTTATACAAAGGAACTGCTGCTGACCGTCGCTTCTTCTCTCTCTCCTTCTCCGACGAGCAGTTGCTGTTAGCCGTCATCGTTAGAGCTCTTCCACCACCGATGCCGCTATCTTCATCTAGCTTTTATGTTTTCTTCTTTTATTATTTTTGCAGTTTAATCGTCTCCACCCGATCAAACTCCGGAGGGATGTTAGTGATTATGGTTTAGGCCCAAGCCCTTTAGGATTTACCCATTAGGCTTTAGGTATTGTCTATATATTCTTATGTAATTGTCTTTTGAGAAGCAACATAAATCCATTACCTAACACTTTAATGTCCCTATTGATTAGATTTGATTATATTAGAAGAACACATATTTCAATCTATCTTGTAGTTTTTTTACCTTAATTCATACCCAATTTATGCAAATATAGATAAACAAGAAGAAAAAAGAAGAGCAGGGATTCACCAACTACTCTACCAAGCACTTGTAGGAGTACGTACGGAGAAGTTACAGTGATAGACAAAATCACGAATAATGGAAACACATCACTCCATGTAGTTTTTTTGTCTATATATTGATCTCATTTTGAGTAACGGAGAAGTTACAGTGATAGACAAAATCACGAATAATGGAAACACATCACTCCATGTAGCAGTGGGTGCTACCAAGAAGGCGGACCTATTACAGAAACTGCTGGAAAAGACACCGGAGAACACACAACTGTTGGATCTAAGAAATTCAGATGGAAGCACACTACTTCATGTCGCTGCTATTGTTGGCAACACCCAAGCTGCTGACATCTTGGTGGGAAGAAACCCAGATTTATTGTTTGCCAAGGACAACGAGGGTCACACACCACTAGCCATAGCTCTATCTAATATGCATACAGAGACAGCTCAGCATCTGTTGCAACACATCGGTAATGACCTAGAGATGGGTACTCTGTTTTCTGGTTCAGGTGGCGATGAGCTTCTAGTTACTGCTATTTCTTCTAAAGATTTCCGTACGTGTCTATTGGTTTCAGATTCCAGTAGTAAAAACACAAACCACGTAAATGAAACAACTAACTTTGAAAAATGTGTAGGCTTGGCGTGTGATTTGCTGGGGCGTTACAAAACATTGCATGGTGATGCTGTTTTGATGGCTATTACTCTAAATTTCCCAACCGAACTCAATATGTTGGAAGAATTTTCAAGTTTGTTGATTTTATCTGGATTCTGCATTTTTCTTATCTTCTCAATCTATATTACAAGGTCGACTCTCTAATGAACTTGATGTACAACAATTTTCTATGTTCAAGGGACTGGTATTTTACACTCAAAAATAGAAAGCGCTGTCGTTATAGCATCTGATTATACGGTTGAGAAATGTGGTACCAGGGTTGGAAATTTTATCAGCCTATTCTATGTTGGTAGGTCATGAATTGATATTTTTATAGACAACTGTTTTGTGTTGCACTCCCCAATCGCCATCTATCTAATTTGGTGAACACACAATAATACTTATTATAATTAATTACGTTTTAGTAACTTTTTACTTCCATAACCCCATAATTCTAACAAACTTTCTATCGCCTAATGCAGGGATTTATTGGATTCTCAAACTTTTACCGCTAATCCTTAAGATGTTACGTAAGAAACACGAACAATTACCATCATTCTATAAGAAAATTAGAAGAAAAAGGTCCTTTTTTATTGTTGCAGATGCTCATTTACATCTATATGTTGCAGGGTGGCCATACATTAAAGAGACAGTTCGAACACATCTTGATGCTATTCTACTATTAGCATCGGTATGTGACTTGATAAGATTCAGGAATGACCCCATGTGTTACCATCAATATTACATGAATCCACTTTATGAAGCCATAAGACAAAATTCATACGACGTTGTAGAATATATTCTGTCTTATTTTCCAGATGCACTTACGAGTGCCAATGAAGAAGGTCACAACATAATTCAATATGCTGTCATAAATCGCTCTGAAAACATTTACAACATGCTATATCAAATGGGCGAACACAATAATATTTATAGAACAGTCAAAGACCCTTTTCAAAATAATCTCCTGCATTTGGCTGCAAGATTGGCACCTTCCAACAAACTTAACCTTATATCCGGAGCAGCTTTACAGATTCAACGTGAACTACAATGGTTTAAGGTAGAAACCTTTGATGATTCAAATTTTGAATTCATTCGGCATACATGATGTTTTAAGACCACATTATTTATCAATCATGGTTAACATACTATAATCTTGTAGGAAGTTGAAAGGTTTGTATGTCCTTTGAACATCATACAAAGGAACTCTTTTGACGAAACACCTCAAATGGTGTTTACAAGAGAACATAAGGACTTGGTGATTGAGGGAGAAAAATGGATGAAGGCCACTGCAGAGTCATACACCATTACAGCTGCATTAATTGTCACCGTTGTGTTTGCAGCAGCAATTACAGTGCCAGGAGGAAGCAATCAGGACACAGGACTACCAGTTTTTACCAACAATACAGCCTTCACCATATTTGCGATATCAGATGCCATATCATTATTTGCAGCCGTTACTTCATTGTTAACATTTTTGTCGGTTCTCACAGCACGTTTTGCTGAACAAGACTTTCTTTTCAAGTTGCCTACAAAGTTGATAATTGGTTTGGCTACCTTGTTCATCTCAACCACATCCATGATAGTAGCTTTTGGTGCAACATTGTACATTGTATTCGGCCAAAGGAACTCAAGGATTCTTATTCCAATAGTTGTGTTGACATGCCTACCGATTATTTCTTTTGTGACCCTGCAATTCCGTCTCATCCTAGATTTGATGAGTGCCACATATGGTCGTAGTATTTTTGGTAAGAAAAGAGATGATACCTTCTAAGAAAGCTTTGTGCTTGATTATAGATGGTGGACTAAAAAGAGTTGTACTCGAGTCATATTGGACTCCGTATGTTGGTCCATGCTTTTTAATATGACAATTATTTGAGTTATATGGATTGAGAAAAATGTGGTTAGATGGAAATTTGGAAAGTCATTGATCAGAATATATGATTGTTAAAGTTGTAAACAATAACATAAATGTTCCTAATGTAGTTGGCTTGCATATTGCATAATTTTCTTAATCCTCAATGATATATGCTTCCATATAGAAACATGATTAGAGTACGGAATTAATTTTGCGATCTTTCCTTTAATTAATCATTTGTATGTGTTAGTTTAAATATTTTCCCATGAACATATCCATCCATTAATCAAAAATATATATATACATTGTACAAAAGGCCGTATTGGGGTAAACACTAATAAACCCCAAAGTGAACCGAAGATCAAGAAATAGTGATTCAAAAAGCCCTTTAGTGAAGATGTATGGATACTATGCACTAGATGGAACATGAAGGACTCGAGCTTTGCTAAAATCTACCTGATCACCGAAGAAGTGAAGGTCGGTTTCAATTTGGTTGGTGCGTTGATGTTGCAATGAGTTGGAGAACATGTATACCACCTTGATGTTGTCACAATAAACAATAATGGCTTTAGGAGTCAAGGAGTGCAACTCACAAAGGAGATTTTGTAACCAACATGTTTCACCAACTACATTTGTGACCCCATGATACTCGGCCTCGGTATTAGACCGAGACGACAATCTTTCGGGTGGATGACCATGAAAGAATGCTACTTTCACGAAAATCACAATTGCCTGAGGTTGACCATTTTTTAGCGAGGCGCTCACCCTAACCAACATTGGCCAGGTGACAAGCTCTGTAGCTGGCCCCACGAGGATCATGCATAAAAAGTAAAATATGATGAAATCCATAAGTAAGATCAGGTTGAGTAAACGTAAGGTAGTGTAGAGCACCTACAAGACCGCAATAGAGTTGTGTTAACAATAGCAGTCCCGTAGCATCAAGTTTGAATATTTTCCCATGAACCAATCAATCTAGTAATTAGGAATGTATATACATAATACAAAGGGCGGTATTGGGCTAAAGAGTAATAAACCCAAAGTGGGTCTAACTGTACAATATTAATACAGTAACATCCCTTGCAGGTTCATCGGGATGCCTAGACTAAACACTCAAACTGAACCATAGATAAGAAATAATGACGCTGAGAGCCCTTTAGTGAATATGTATGGATATTATGCATTGGATTAAACATGAAGGAGTCGAACTCTACCTACAACTACTTGATTATAGAGGTAAAGTGACGGTCTGTTGGGGTTGAAACACACTTTTATTCAGAACTAGAACAAAAGAGAAGAGCTTACACGCTCAATATTACAAGAAAAAGAAACAACCCTCTAATACTCACTCTAAGTAGTACACACTACACTCTCTGTTTGTGGTGTCTTACAACTGAGGTTAGAGCCTCTATTTATACTTAAACAAGCCTACAATTACTACTGCTACCATTTATTGTGTTCATTATGTGAACATACGAAGTTGTCATTTGAGTTCTTATTGTCAACAAAGGAGGCATTCATTTGTCAACAAAAGAGGGTGGTACAGCTACTCATGGCAGGTTCACACCCAAGTAGGTTTACACTCACATTCTCCCCCTTAAACCTAACTTGGCTCGAGATTCGTCACTCCGATCATGTTTCGCATTTCACCATGTTTCACGTATGCTAAAGCCTTTGTAAAGATGTCCTCCCGTTGATCCTTCGAGTTGACATATTCCACTATAATTTGCCCACGTTCAACACATTCTCGTATGAAGTGATAACGAATGTCAATGTGTTTGCTTCGACCATGAAACACAGGATTTTTCATCAATGCGATTGCTGACTTGTTATCGACATATAAGGTGATAGGCATAATATGATGTCCCGTGAGCTCCTTCACGAGATTAGCAAGCCAAATGGCTTGACATGCTGCTGTTGTAGCTGCCATGAACTCGGCTTCACACGTGGACAAAGCAACAGTCTTTTGCTTTTGGGATTGCCAAGTTATCGCATTCCTTCCCAGATAGAAAATCATTCCACTTATGCTCTTGCTATCAACAGGGTCACCTCCAAGATCACTATCGGTAAAACCAACCAAATCTTCAATTTCACGACCTCTTCCATAGTTGATTCCATAATCAACGGTTCCTTTTACGTATCGCAAGATGTGTTTCACAACTTGGAAATGCAAAGTGGTTGGTTCCTCCATGAAACGACTTGCAATTCCAACCGAAAATGACAGGTCTGGTCGAGTGTGAGTCAAGTACCTTAAACAACCTACCACTCGCCTATATTCAGTTGGATCAACTTTTTCACCATCTTCATCCTTCTTGACCTTCAACTTAGGTTCCATTGGTGACGTTGTCAGATTGCAATCCAGCAACCCAAATTGCTCTAAAATTTTCTTTGCATAAGCCGTTTGTCGCAAAGATATTCCCCACTTCTTTTGCGAAACTTCGATTCCAAGGTAGTAAGAAAGTAATCCCAAGTCACTCATTTCGAATTCTTTCTTCATTTGTTCTTTGAATTCGACAACATCATTAGTGTTTGACCCGGTAATGATCAAGTCATCAACATAGACACCAACAATAAGAATTTTGTCTTTTGAGTTCCTTTTGTAAACAGCTGGGTCTTGTGAACTTTTTGTAAAACCAAGCATTTTTAAGCTTTTATCCAAACGAATGTTCCAAGCTCGAGGAGCTTGTCGTAGACCATAAAGAGCTTTATGAAGCTTGAACACCTTATGACTGTTTGCTCTATCAACATAACCTTCTGGTTGGGTGACATAGACCTCCTCTTTGAGATCTCCATTGAGAAAAGCCGATTTGACATCGAGATGGTGGACAACCCACCCATATTGAGCTGCTAAGGCAAGAATGAGCCTTACGGTGTCAAGTCGTGCTACCGGTGCAAAAACTTCATCAAAGTCGACTCCTTCCTTTTGTACAAATCCTTTTGCTACAAGTCGAGCTTTATGCTTCACCACTTTTCCCAAGTTGTCTTTCTTCACTTTAAACACCCATTTCAAACTGATTGCTTTGTGTCCGGGTGGCAAATCGCTAAGTTGCCATGTCTTGTTCTTCTCGATTGCATCCAACTCTGTTTGCATAGCCTCTTGCCATGCCTTAGAGGTTACTGCCTCTTTAAAATTCAAGGGTTGATCCGCTGCAATCATCAATAATTCTTCGGGTTCAAGGAACACATTTTCGGTTTCAGAATAAATATCGGTTAACGGACGCAATCCCCTTGGCCCAATCTCACTAGAAGGGCTTTCCATATGGGGCGAGGTTGAAGAAAACGGGGCTGAGACAGGAGTATGTGGAGCTGGTTCAGGCTCGTCAAATTCAGCATATGGTTGTCCAACTTGGATAGCATCGATTTCTGGGCTGTTTGGTTGTTCCGGATTGATTTTGGGGTCATTTTGAGGTGTTTCGAGGTGTATTTGGGGTTGTGGTTCAATTATGTTAAAGGTCTTAGGAGTCGCCATCTCTTCTTCTTTGTTTTTGTACCAATTCCATTCTTCTTTTTCGTCAAAAACAACATCGCGACTAACTCGCAACTTTCGGTCTTGCGGATCAAACAAACGGTTGCCTTTAGTTCCATCTTCCACACCTAAATACACCATCTTCTTACTTCGATCATCAAGCTTCTTCAGGTGACCACCTACAAGTTTAGCAAAAGCAACACAACCAAAAACTTTTAGATGTTCAAGGTTGGGCTTTTTGCCAAACCACGTTTCATAAGGCGTCTTGTCGGGAAGTACTTTTGTTGGCAGGCGGTTGAGAAGATAAACTGCATGTCTAACCGCTTCTCCCCAAAACTCTCCCGGAACATTTCTACCTTTGAGCAAACTTCTTGCCATGTCCATAACGGTCCGATTTCGCCTTTCTACAACTCCGTTCTGTTGAGGCGAATATGGTGTCGTAAGATGCCTTTGAATACCATTTTCTTCACAAAATAATGAGAATTCTTTTGAAGTGAACTCTCCCCCTCGGTCCGTTCGAAGTGTCTTTATTTTATAACCCGAATTCTTTTCAACCATCAACTTGAACCGTTTGAAAGCGCTCAAGGCTTGAGACTTCTCCGATAGCATGTAAACCCACATCCACCGGCTAAAATCGTCTACTAAAAGGAGAAAATATTTACTCCCTCCAACAGACGTAGGTGTGATCGGACCACATAAGTCCGCATGAACAAGTTGTAGAGGTTTTTGAGCCCGAAAAACTGCATGATCCAGGAAAGGAATTCGGGTTTGTTTGGAAAGAACGCACCCTTCACATACTTGGTTTGGGTGCTCAATCTTTGGGACTCCGATTGCCATATTCTTTTCGGACAACTTCTTTAAGGCGAGAAAGTTAACATGACCGAGTCTAGAATGCCATATCCAAGCTGGTTCGTCTTTTGTTGCTAAAAGACAAGTCGGTCTACCGGTCCTTAAAGGAGTTTTATATAACCGGTTTGGGGATCGTTTAACTCTCAAAAGTAGAGTTTTGTTTCTGTCAAACAATGTCAGATCCGACCCATCCATTATGACCCGACTCCCTTCCTCCGTCATTTGTCCAAGACTAATAATATTGTTTTTTAGACTTGGAATGAAATATACCTCATTAAGGAGTCTTTGGTCGGCATTTTTGCTATCGAATAAAATCGACCCTTTTCCCAAAATAGCGACGGTCGAACCATCCCCAAATTTCACATGGCCCGTAACGTGCTCATCTAGTTCCCGAAACTTTGAGCGGTCTCCAGTCATGTGATTGCTAGCACCGTTGTCGAGATACTATACCTCAGACTCGACTCGACTTTCTCCCGATGCAAGAAGATTAACACAAATCTTCTCTCTTAGAGACACTTTTTTGTGTGCATATTCTTGTGAGGTTGCCATCATTAAAATAGGCTCTTCTTCGTTGGCTTGAGTGAGGTTTGCCTCCTCACCTCGATTCTTGTTTGGACACTCCGAAGCATAATGACCAAATTGTTCACAAGTAAAACATTTGATTTTACTTTTATCCTTTCGAGAAGGATTATGGTCATTCCGATTTGCATTGTACTCGCGACCACCTCCTTGGCCACGTCCACGACCTCGGCCTCGTCCCCGGCC